TTAAGGAAATTGCTGTTACGCCTTTCGCCGGAACGGAGGGAAGACACAGTCACTCAATATGAGTGATCAGCATACTTCGTTTATTGGAATACAATCATCAGACTTTATAGGGTTACTTCTTACATATTTATTATTATAGGCTGGGTTAGTATAATTAGTTCTAAGAAAAGGTGGGATATTCTAATTACTTCTAAGAATCTATTATCATAGGGTCCCTCCTCCTGGCGCACGCGTACTGCCGTCTGGTGGTCGTCTATTGGGGTTTTTTGGAGGAAGATTCACAGTCTTCCTCACCGGGTACCTTCACCTTAACATTTCAATGTTTCCACAAATTGCCAACTGGAAAAATATACCTTATGACTGTTCTGAGAACTCAGAATTGGAGGCTTTCCTATGAATTATGTTTTATCTCAAACAGAAATACTGTGCTTGAACTCAAAATCAGTCTAGTATTAAGGCATACGCAAGGAAGAGCTACTGAAAATAATTTGATTTATGTCATTTTACAGTGGTTACCAAGTATCTTCCTTGATAATGATTGTCTGATAATGGGTGTGGTCTCTCAATATTATGCTAAATTTTAGACAAGTAGAACAAGATAATGGGGAAGCAACGCTGAAAATGGGGGCAGATCTCTTTAAAGAATCATGAAAGTAGAAGGGCCAACATATCACAAAGGCACCTAAGGCAAGAGGCTGTCTTCCCTAAACACTTAAAAACTCCTTGTAAATGCTAGCATTGATTATAAGGAAGGGACTGCTGACCAGAGTAAAAATGCCTGGGGAAAGACTTTGCTTTAAATCTTTCATTTTCCCCTTAAAACATTTTTAATAAGGGTCACACATGCATGAGCTGCAAAAATGTCAAGAGTCTCTAGCTCTCAATATCTTGATGACAATTTCCTCTTTAGAATTAGGTTTTCCATTCAAATTAAAAACTTTTGGGATCCAGTTGAATTTATTTGTGCTGTTTCTGTTCCTCAGATATTTTGAAAAATTCCACACACAAAAAATTAGCTCTGAAATGGAAACAAAACATGAAACTTCAAAAGCACTTACAAAACTGTACTTTCCAAATTATGATTCAGAGTGTTCAAAACAACCTTTCATTTGGCTTTTTGGAAAGTTTCCCAAGTTCCAAGAAGTCTTGGAAGCCAGGAGTCCTAGGAGCCCTCCCAGAAAAATCCTCAGAGCTAGTTTAGAGCTGATAAGCCCTGTTTTGATGGCTGCAGGTCACACAGCAGATTTTTTAATATCTGGGCAGATGACATGGAAGATAACTGGGAGGTTTTGAAATTTGCATCATTTTTATCATATTTATGCACAAATGGGTGGATGTCTGTGGATAGATTTCATTTTAAAACACTGGCATTTTCCAGCAGAAAAATATTCCTTAGAAAAATCTACAGTATGTTCAGGATTTCCTTTTTCTAATGAACGCCAGTCCAATCCAGTTAATAGGACTAAAAGTGAAATGGAGTCATGAAGGGATTATTGACATTCTGTTTTGAAAACATTCACAGAATGTCTAAATCCTAACTTAGTAAATTGCTGACACAGACTCTAAGCTTTTCCAGGGAAAATATGAGATGCTGACCTGTGTCATTGCAAAGCTGCAGCTCCCATGCAGGACACTTGATGGTGGTTCTGTCTCTAGTGCTCTTTCTCCCCTCTTAGAGGTGGAGCAGCTTCCTGAGGTGTTGCCACTAGCACGCTCGGAAATGTCAGTTCTTATGTGATGTGGTGATATGGTGTCCAAATAAAATCTTTAAAAATGAGATGTTTTATGTGGATTTTGAAACATCTGAAGCACAGTCATCCACTCAAAATTTGATGTTACTGTCGTTGGTTTTAGTAATAATCTGTTCCCATATTGTGTTTCATCTCTGGACTCTGGAACACCTTATAGAGCAAAAGAAATACCATCATTTTTATTTCACTAAGTGAGAGGGAAACTGAGGCAAGAGTGGGGAACTGACTTATTCATCACCACACATAAGATTAGCAGGATCCAAGACTGAGCCTCCAGTCAGGCTCCATCCATCTTCTACCACAATAACAGGGATTGCCTGAGTGCTCAGATCATCCCTCTCCTGTGAATAATGACTAATGCTATTGGAAAGAAGATTCTCACATATCTTAGATGTAAAAATTGTTCACAAATATTTATTCATGTTCTTAAACAGCATTGTGAATGTGTGGGCACTCTCAATGTGTGCATTTTTCATTAATATCCTAGCACAGGAGCTTGTTGGCAGGCATGTTGCTGTAGCAGACAGTTTGATGTTTAATTCCGAGGAATTTCTACGTAAAGTAAATATTTGATGTGCAGCGAGTAGTTTGACTTTACATGTACATTTGTCCAGTCAAGGAACAGCCCTGTCCCTTTGCCTTTCACTCCACCAGACTGCCTGGATTCAAAAGAAATTGTTTGAAATAACAACTACACATAGGGCAGTGGTCACAATTAAATTGTATCCCAGGAAGTGACCGTAGACATTATTTAGCCAAGATTATTAAATAGTTAACGTTATGGGTATTCATATTCTTGGCACATTTTGAGGAGACAAATAGGGAAAAACACTCCTGAACTCTAATGAGGAAATTGTTTTCTGTAAATGTGCCTTTTTGTCATGTAAGCAATTTGATGTTGCTGCATGTGTGAGATTTGCTCAGTCAGCCCGAGGAGTGCGACCAGTCCACACTAAATCCATTTGCAGGCTGTGTACAGCTTTTCTTCACTGCATTTGACTTTGCCCCTGTGAGGCGAAGCTGTGGTCTGTGGGTAAGACTTGGGGCACCGTGATCGGGTTCCTTTCTTTTATGCTACATAGTGAAGGGTCTCTGTGTGATGGGGCGATAGTGAGGAGGTGAGGGGTGGACATCACCTTGGTCTTTCCCCAGCTGTGCGACCTGCCATCAGACCTGCACACCAGCTCTCTGTGCCTCAGGTGTGTGCAGCTTCTTCTCTGCACCTCCCAGTCTCACAGCCAAGCTCTCTCTACACTGTTACTTTTTCCCATTGGTATCACTAAGTCCCAATGGAGAAGAAATTAGATAACCACAATGAATTAGATGACTTCCCCTTAGCAGAAGTGCTATAAACCTGTTGTTTTCTCTGGCTGTGTGGGACTGCTTTTGTCAAGTCATAGCACATTGTTGCTTATCCCAGTGCCTTTAGCTGTTGGTTTCATTATCATAAGCTTATTCAGATGCTTCTAGCTTTCTCTTTTTGTGTATAATAAGTAATTAGTGTAACTTAATATCTCATTGTTGTTGCTTTTTCCAGCACAGAATAATAATAAAAATCCAATATAAATATAATCACACTGTAACTTCTCTTACACTTCTGTACATCTCCAGATAAGTCCTCAACAGTGTTCTGGGGTTTGACAAATGACACTTCTGAAAATTTCTGTACATATGTATTGATAACAATTTCATGGCCAAAATGGTATCATCAGAGGTTCAGCATATACAGATACTTTGGGTTATCATAGAGTAAAATATGTCTTTTTAAGAAGTGTGAGATAAAGCCAATTATGATAGCTTTAGTGAATTAGGCAGTGGAAACAATCTAAGGACATTTAGCTCAGTTATTTCCAATTAAAGCCTTCACAGTAATTTTAAAATCTAATGTAGAAATGTCCTGTTGCTATTTGCTCTGTTTTTCCTGAGTATTTTTAATAAGTGGCATCACCTAGATTGAATACTTATTTTAAAAAGGAATTTTTGGTGTTTTTATTTTTAAAATCACAAAAACTTTCCAAACTATACATGGTAATAAAGAGAAAACTGTACGGAAGCCTTTATCTGTTTATTTAAGCATCCCAATGACATCACAGACTACTCATGCTTTTCACCCATATTTATCGTGAGGTCACTAGATGCTTCTCATATTCATTTTAGTTCACTGATCTCTGTTGTACCTTTTATCTCTCACATGTGTATTTCTCCCAGCACATGGACATATATTAATGTCATGTTTGTTTACATGATTGTGAAGATTATTGTTTTACTTCTCAAAGAGGTAGCGCACATGTGCTATGAGGAAACTGTGTGATAATCTATGTAAATTATGTGCACAGAAGCTACACTTTGCCCTTGGGGGAAATGCAAATTAGAACATTTTGTAGTTTGTTTGTTTTTAAATACATACACTTTTCACTTCAAGGCTCAGGACAGACTCCCTGTTTATTTTCCCATTGCTCATAATTTGTTTTTTCTTGTAAATATCTCAGCCTTTAATGATTAGTTTGCTACTTTGGTAGGAAAAAAATGCTTGATGAGTGAAGTCCTCCGAACATAATGTTTGGTGTATTTTATAGCTCTGCTGTAAGGGAATTATCTGCTTGTAGAAGGGCATATAACACACTCACAACTCAAAGCCATTATAGTGATCTGACAGTCTTCATTCATTTTCTCCTAGCACCGTCTTGGTTTCTTCTGTTACATTAGTGCTTGCAATATTTTTTAATCCTGCATTACTAAAACACAGAGTTAACTGATTTTCCTTATATGAAGCAAGAAAAACATATTCATAAAATGTGTTGTTTGCTGCGCTTGCAGTTATCTGCTGATGTAATTTTTTGTATTAATAAAATTATTTTTATACTCTTTAAGTACCCTTTCAGAGAAATGTTTTAATGTAAGTTGTCTGATTCTGTTTTAAGTGAAGGAGAAAACCTGGTAGAGGTTGTCTCTTTAAATCAGATCTGCAGTGTTGATGGACCCTCTAGCAGGCACGGTAAGAACCATTCTCACCTCTGCAGCAGGGAGCTTGACCATATAGACTCTCACATTCAATCAAAACGTTTTCCCTTTTAATATGCACTGTACCAATCCTATTCCCATGGTTACAGCTCGTGCTTCTTTGGTTGCTTCCAGTCTGTTGGAAAAGGAAGGCAGCACACATTTCTTGTACAGGAGTTTAAAACATCATGAAAGCAGCCCTGTTGTGATTTGCATTTTAAATGTTTCTTTTTTTTTCTCATTGTACAGAATGCTGTAGCAGTAGCTTCAGTTCATTTGCCACAGTCTGTCTTCTCTCAGTCTTCAGCCTGGCAATCTGTTGATAACTCCACTTGCAAGCTACAGTTTATTGTATTTCGGAATGGAAAACTCTTTCCTAGCACAGGAAACTCATCAAATCTTGCAGACGATGGGAAACGTAGGACGGTTGCCACACCAGCTGTTTTTGCTAAAATAGGTGAGGAGTTATTATGCATTATTTCCTTTAATCTAAAAGCTACGGTATACTTGGTTATGTAGAGAATAGAGGAGCAGAGTGTACAGTGTGCTGAGAGGCTGGAAACAGTCTCTTTCTTTAGTACAAATGTTCGCAATTGTTCCTATCTGCATGATTTTATTCACATTATCCTGCAAATAAAGAAATGCACTTGCTGTATGACTAGAATTCAAATTTTGGACTACTGTTTGTCGACAGTGTTGTTACAGATGCTTGTTTCTTAAAGCACAGTGCTATAGGAAAGAACCTTGTCTTACTCTTTACAATGAAAATTGCAATGTTAACGTCCTAGACACTGATAAAAATAAGGCTTTTGGAGTGGGAGTAGTGCCCTGTTGCATGTATCAATAGTCACCAGTATACTTTCTGATACGATGGACATAAAACAGGTGTTGTTAAAGGCTTTTGTCTAAATGTGATATATTGTATGTGCTAGTGAGTCCTTATTTGATTAATTATTCACCCAGGCAATTTTACTAATTTTATTTGATACTGAATAGTGTTGTCATTTCTATTAACATTTTTAAAATGTTTAAATGTGACTTTCAGAGTGTGGAATTGTCTCAGCTATTAATCATATCATGAAACTGAGCCGTTTCTGCAGTTACATGGGCAATAGTTTAACACTGGTTGTAACTGAAGAATCTGAAACAAAAAAAATCTGCTTTATGAAGGATGATTAGATCATTTGGACGCATTATGGGACTGAAATGTTCAGATTTATTTATACTATTGCAAACTTTTCTGCATGTGAGCACTACCTTTGATTTTGACCATTAAGAGTATATGTCTATTGCTTTTTTTCCCCATCATTTAGTGTATCTGATCTCTTCACACAGCATTCATCAATAAAGGGTTTTCCACTCTATCTCTCTGATTCAGTTTGTTGCTTTTGCAGATGGATGCAGTTTTGGAAACCTCACCAGCCCTCTTACTATAGGGTTGAGGCACTTTGCAAGGGGTATAGACCCCATTGCAGCCTTCTGGGATTTTGACCTTCTGGATGGACATGGAGGCTGGTGGGGAGAAGGGTGCCACATAATTAGTTCTGCAGGCAATATTACCACCATTCAGAGTACACACTTCAGTAACTTTGCAGTGCTAATGGTAAGTATATGACTTAGCAAATATACCTATATTTCTCTCTCTCTCTCTCTTTTGCCATACATATATGTTCTTTTTACGTGCATCTGTACCATTCTTACTTGTCAGTAACTGACCTTCTGTTTTCTATAATGTTTAGTATAAGACAGTCTTAAAGAAAGTAAGTTATTTAACTGCTAGTAAGTGAATAAACCTGGTGGTCAGTTTTAATATCCAGAGAGAGGCCTAATCAGAAATGATGTTAAATTCAGTCTTACAAATGAAAGTTCCATCTAGAAATGATTAGCATATAATGGTTATAAATTATAGGACAGGGTTTAAAAATGTATTCTCCTGTGTGCTTTTACATCAGCACATCTCAGAGGCTGGTCTGCTTTTGTTCTTGCCCTGCACTGTGTTGATCATACTAATTAGTTGCAGGCATACCGCAATGTTGAATCATTTAATAAATGGAGAGGAATAACATCTTCTGCTCTTTTAAGTAAGGACAGTGCCATCCTTGTTGATCCTGTAGAGTTTTAGTTTGTATACCAATGCTGATAGCCTTCTTAGGAAATTGCTGTTCGTGAAGAAAAATATTTCTGTGCAGTGCTAACACATCAGCCTGCTTTGGTCTGTTCTCAGTCACACTTACAGTTCCCATTGCAGTTATTTAACTATCCTGCTTAACAGAAAGTTACTTTCATGAAAGCAAAAATATTATGCGTGCAATAATGACCTGTTATTATTCAGGGAATAAAGGAAAGCAAACTAAAAATGAGAGGTTTCTAACATACATAGGTGAGAAAATGTTTGCACCGTTACAACTGGTTTATAAAAAATATTTTTAAAAAGATTAGCCAGATGTGTACTATTAATACCAGATTGATCCTGAATGCCAGTGCATGATTGCACTGTAGATGCTGCTTGTGTACATTACAGAAATGTTTATAGTTGAGTAAATAATGTACTGTGTGTATGTGTAAGGGACAGCAAACGTAGGCGACAGGAATTGCGAGGACGTGTGCAGAGAATACCAATCTGCTGCTGTCAGATGGAGCCCAGATGGCAGCCAATCATAGCACAAGGCTGTGGCACCCACGAGTTAAATGCGGATATTATCGTCCACTTCGTAAGAACTGATTTCCCTCAGAGTTACTTGAACATTTTTTCACCCATTCCAGAACTGTTCAGAATTTAAGAGCTGTTCCTAAGATTTGGCAACATCAAATATACCTCATATACTACAGCTTCTATGAGTTCCCTTTTTCCCCCAGCCGCTTGGTTCCCCGAATGTGAAACATCATTTTGCTTTGAGGATGTTTTTCTAAATTCATTAAAGAAAGCACCTGTTGACTTTGCAGGTGCCACACCCAAAATGGCTTCCTCCTCCTTCAACTGCCTGGGTTCAGCCTGTTCTTCTTAAACTTTGGGTAGTTATTAAATGTTAACTAATTGCTTGCAAACAACCAATTTCACGGTTTCATTTTGTTTGCAAAAATCATATACTGATATCAGGGCTACAATTAATTTTTGGTTTGTAAAGCCGAATGCACATTTACCTCTGATAAGTAGCAGGTTGGTTTTTCTACAACCGTAAGGGCAACTGAGGCACCTTTTACTGCGGCTTTTGCATCTGGTATGTAATTCTGGTTTAGGTCTTGTGTTTGGTTTTTTATGGTAATTCAACTTTGCTTTTTTTCCTGTGTGCATATTCCATTTTTATCTGTGCAAGACAAGAAAATAGAATCTTAGACTCACCCTTGCTTTGCAATTGATATGGTAGCAAACAATGTGATATGTTCCTTAGCTTATGTTTCACGGTCACTTTTAAGGAAAAAGATGCTTGACCTTAGGTCATTTTTTTATATATATATACACACACACGCACACACGCACAAATATGTCTTCCAACCGCTGTCTTTCTAAACAGTTATTGAAAAACTGTAGCTTTGTTATGTGCAATCATTTTCATTCAGGTGTTACTTCTTAATCAGTGTTTTGTGGCATAAAGTCAGGGATTGATTTATTTGATAGAGACTGTGCTTTTCTGGGCAGTTCAATTCTCATACCAGAAATGAAAAATATTTCATTGTTCTGCTTAGCTATTAATTTATAATATGAACAATATAAAGTGCCTATGTGTATCTTCTTAATTCACACCTTAGTGCCTAATATATTTTAAAACACTAACAAACTGACAGCAAATTCAAAATAGCTAGCATATGGTATGTAGCCAATGAAATTAGCTACAATATCGTGATACATGTTATTAATCTATAATTCTCTATTAAACTATAAAAGTTCATAGTTGATTGTTATGTTTGGGGGTAATAGCAGAAAACTAAAGTAGCATCTGTAAACTGAAGAGCAAAAATAAAGCAACAGTGTTGAAGGTTTACGTTACCATCAGAATAATGTATATCCTGCTGTGGAACAAGATGAAATAGATAGAAGCCTTAGTTAATCCAACTGTCCATTTTATAGCTAGTACAGCACATATTCTGATTTTTCATCATTTTAAACAGTAAGACAATGTTCCCTGAACTGCTTTTATAAAAGTTGTTTCTGCCTATGAGCAGTAAAAGGGTTAAAATAAAGGTTTCATAGAGTCCTTTTTTAGAAAGACAGTAATCAAGGATTTATCAACTATGATTGATAATTAATAAGCATGAGCATACTTCAAGTGAGAGGACTCACTTAGAGCCGTTTCATTTCTCTCAGTGACAGTTGTTCAAGTGATGTCAATGAGAGAGAGTACAGTTTAGAGGTTGGGTTGGAAAAGAGGTACAAGTTCCTACCCTCACACTACTCTCATGCTTTCACTCTGCTCTGGGTTGGGCCCGTGGATGGAAGTAAAAAAGTAGTGTCAGACATAATACAGCATTATCATTTTCTGATCAGCTTTTCAATGGTATGTCCTAGGGATGAGAGTAAAATACTGTGAACTAAACTTGCGAGTTATATTCCTGCCTTTCCCTTCACATACTGTGTTTAGACCAGTCCCCTATTTTGTCTTTTCTTCTGTTATCTGTAGGAGGAAGAGAGACGGTCACACTCTAGGTTTTTTTGGAGGTGGTCAAAGCCCTCTAGGGTCTTGAACTGTGAACCTCTGCAATATGATTTTCTGTTTCAGAGTGAAATTATGAACACTTATATTCTGAAGCTTTGGTATACCTAATTATAAGTATTTGTTCTATAAATACTATGTATTTGTGCTCTTTTGTGAACTGAGCTGTATATCAATATTCTAATTTTTCAAGACTGTGTGTATGTTATGACCAATCTAGTGCCCTGTAGTCATAGTATATCTGAGTGAAAACTCTTCAGGACATAACAAAAATATCCAACAGCAACACTGAATTTCAAAATTTGCTGAATGTATGTTGACATATGTTGTCCTTTGTTCTTCCTTTCATTTTTCTTAGAACAGAATGGCAATTCACTAGTGATGGATATGACTGTAATTGTATACAGCATTTCCTTTTCCCCCTCGGACTGCTTTGTCAATAGTAATTTCTGCAAATCTGCCAAATAAACACTAGTAAAATTCTTAAATCTAAGTATGCTACTTCTCAATTAACATAAAATGGATTAATAATTATTGTTAGCATTTTTTATTGTAATCCTGAAGATAGGTTAAATGAACATAAGATCATAAACAACTCCTTTCCTGTTTTGTCACAATGTATCTCGTTATTCCAAACAACATAGGTGGGTTTTTTGTTGGATTTTTTTTCCTTTTTGAGTGTAAGGAGTCATTATTTGCAAAAGTAGCATACATTCAGTGGATGGCTATTTGCAATAATTAGGGCTGAGGAGACTGAGCTGACAAAAACAGAGCAAATCTGAAACTACGCTGGAAGCAAACCTTGGAAAACTGTGTGAATGAGAAATTGAGGAGAGGCGAGATACTAGGAAGGGATCATGCTAAGAGTTAACAGGATTTTTCTCCTGTTGTTTTACAAGCATTCCCTGAATCTTTTAAGTCTTTCCAAATTGGTAGGATCACAGTACCACAAAAGCTACGTTTTAAGTATTTTCAGTGTACCTGGAGACAATTGCAGAATTTCTTAGGCCTATTCATGAAGTTTAGTTCTGAAAACAGTCTTCTAAACTTCCATGTTTCAGGTCTTCTCCAAATCAAACAGCCTGTCTAAGCCTTTTGAGAAATTAATTCATGAGTCGGGGAAGTATTATGGAGATGTCATTTAGAAGGTTGACATAATTACAGTATTTGACATTTTCCCCATAAAGAACACAGGGTTTTCTCATAACAAGCTATGGAAACGTGGTTCAGTACTTTGAAAAATCAGGCTGCTTAAAAAGAGAAGTTTAAGAATGAATTTTCAAATTTTTTTGTATTTAAACACCTACTTTTACACCTACAGAATAGACCTTAGCAGAGTTTAAGCGACAAAGACTATGAAAGTGATCCAGAAAGTTTACCTGATATCTGCGAAATTAACATTTGGTGTAGTGGGAACTCCAAAATTCCCTGGAATTAGATTCCTCTGCATGTGCATAGATGCTTCCCAGTGTGAAGAGCTAGATTCCTAAGCTCTGCTGTCATTCAGAGACCTGGCAGAGGCACATACTCTTCACCAAAGTCCTCAGCTGGCATGTACTGCTCACCTAACAGAGAATGCTTAGCCCATATGAACAGTATTGAGTCCAGCTTCCCAGAAAAGGTTGCTTTTTTCAGAATATTCCTCAATGTGCCAATCTTTTGCATAAAGCCTTGGAATTAGAGTACTCATAAAGGCAAGATCTGGCTTTTATTCCTTTCTTCTTGGGTTACATCTACTTTTTATTAAATTACACTTAATAATATGTTATTTGCTCTGTAAAATGAATAAACTGGCTTGGTACTGGGGACAAAAATCAAGGCTTGTCTCCTTCAAAATGCACTAACTTTATAACAAATCAAGCCTCTGGCTCAAGCTCTTTCTTTCTGTTTGCTCTTGTTTTCTGTTGGTTTAATGGATCTTGCATTCTTGGTGGTGCAGCTTCAACCAGAAGGTAAAGGGATCCAGACTATAAAGGATCTCAGTAAAATGGGCAAACTCTTGAGAGACAGGAGATGTAAGTTAAAAGACTTAGAATCTAGTTCTTGGTGGCTTCTACTGGACTCCTTTCAATTTGTCAATGTCTTTCTCGTACTGAAGTGCCCCAAACTGGACACACTAGTCAAGATTTGGTCTCAGAAGTCGTGAATAGAAGGGAATAATCACTTCCCTCAGCCTGCTGCCTGTACTTTTGTTAATATGGCCCGATACACGGTTCACCTTACGTGTCACAAGGGCTCACCACTGGCTTGCTTTCAGTTTATTGTCCACTAGGACCCTCTGATCCTTATGCAAAGCTTCTTTCCAGTCGGTTGTCCCCCAGCCTGTACTGCTGTCGGGGTTACTCTGTCCCAGCGACAGGAGACTTTTTATTTCTCTTTATTGAACTTCATGAGGTTCCTGTAAGCCCATTCCTCCAGCCTGTTGAGATCTTGCCAAATGGCAGTCCTGCCCTCCAGCACATCAACTACTCCACTCAATGCGCATTGCAGTGTTTTCAGCTCTCTGTAGAGACCCAGCTCTATGGATAATTTCATGTTCTGGTGCTCCTAAATATCCTAATATTTGGCACCTAATTTTTAAGTTTTGTTTTGTTTAAGTAGGAGGAATCTAAATACAAATAAGAGTCTAAATCTTACCATAACTGATTTTTCAAAGGCACTTGTGTTTCTAAGTCTCTGTGGCGCTTGAATACCACTTCCTTGGGGAACACCATTTCAGGTGTCCTGCTTTAAACACAGAAACCAGTTAGACTATGCTTTCTAAAGTCATACTATTACAAGCAATATATTAAAAATAAATCTTTAATTTGCCAATATAAGTAGATGGATGACAAAAATTTACAACGCTATTTAGATAGTTTTTAGCAGCTGTGATTTTGTGAAAGTACCAGATATTTAGTATTAGTTCACTGTATCTTCCCCTCAGCTTTCTCAGTATCTGCTATTAGATGTCTCAGGGCTGCCTTTGGTATGCAATTTGTCTATACCTCTTCATACTTTCATACTGAGTTTTAACCAAACTGTATAGATGTGTCTGTTTCAGTCAATTTTTGGAATGAAGGCTCAAATAAAAGTGAAACAGCCCCATTTGCACTCTGATGTTTTTATAATTCTGATTGTTGGCTGAAATAGCTGATAAAAAGTCTTTTCCGTCACTGATTTCCATCACTAATTTCTATTGTGCCTTATATGCCATGGTGGCATTTACAGCTGAAAGAAGCTGGTTTCACACCTTCTTATAAGGGTGAATGAATGACAGTTTCTCATTAGACAATATTTTACTGGCCTTGTAGTTGGGGACAGCAGTTTGTAATGGTCAAAGTCCTGTGTGTATTCATTTTCCTGTAGATATTGCTGCCATTTTTCAATATCATCACCATTTGAATCCCCTCTAGGAAACAAAATCAAACCTACCTTTTTAAAATGTAACATACAATTATGCTGCTTTGCATACAGCATGAGAAAAATAACTTTGTTTTCTGCATGCTGACTTCCCCAGGGGATTACTCAGGGGAGGCTGACAGATCAATAAGGTTTAATTATCATCAAAAAGCAGACAAGGTAAATTTATTATATATCTATAATGAAATCAGTTTTCAATATATAAAACCCTTAACAAGCATATTCTACATTGGCAATAATGCATTATGATACTCAAAAGTTTTACCACTTATTTACTGTACAAGATTAGAAAAGAGATAATAATAAAAAAATTAATATTTTAAAGTGGAATTAGCTTTAAGATGCTGATTGTTCTTGATTCTTCTGCAGGCAAAATGGCTGTATTCCTGTAGGACATATGGCGTCTGCTTTTATACTGATGTTCAAACATAGTGAATGGTTGATCCTTGCACTTACACTATTAAAAGCTAGTTCTTTAGTACACTGAATGATGCCACCTCAAGTAAAATTGCTTTCATTTGTTGCTACGTAAACGTGTAGCTTCACTGTGTTTCCTTTTTCACAACTTTGTTAAGTTTTCAGAGTATTTTTTTCAGAAATATCCAAGATATTTATTTCTTTAAATAACTGCACTTTTACTACTATATTAGTTACAGTAACAGTTTTCTTCATGCACAGAATTGAAGCAAGTGTATACATAAAATAATGACAAAGTGTACTATTGGTATATCAAAATATGATTATATCAGTAAGAGCTAGAAGTAAATATTTTATCATTTTCAACAGAGTATTTCTATTTAAATTGTCCAGTATTTACGTGAATACTCTAGTAACATGAACCAAAATTGTACTGAATATTTCTGGTAAAGAATAGTCTACCTCAAGAAATTCACTCTGTAAAAGAATTAATGGGGAGGTGATGTAAATAAAAACATGGGAGAAAAGATGGTCAAAAAAGGGTGTTTGAGCGTAGATTCAGTGGCATTTCTGAGCCAATAGACTTTTAAAGAATTATTTGAAATTTGTGAATTCGGTATATCCTGAAACAAAATCAAGAGAAGGCCTCAAGAGCATAGGTCTGTCACATGAAAAAGCTATCACATCAAAAGACAGAGTTCTTTTCCTCTTCTATTCCACTTGTGGTTGAGGGAAGAGTAGCAAGAGATGTTAGGAGACAGCATAAGAGTACCTCTGTGACAAGTGACTCCACCTCTGCCTCTGAGTCTTGGTGATCTCAGCAGGGCTGAGAGAGGACTTGTGTGTGGGACAGGTGGTGACTGAGCGGATTTAACTGAGGTACACACGCAAGCTGAGGAAGTACTTGAAGAGAAATGGGATGTGACGACATATGTTTGCCATCTTGTTCATACGTTATTTGTTCATTTTTATGGTCTTTTTTATATATGTTGTAAGCTGCTCCGTTTTAGAACTGACATTAATATGCGTCTGGAGAAACTGATACAATCAATCTCAGGAACTTTAAAGCTAGAATGAAGAAAAATAATGACTACTAGGGCATCTGTTACTTGTAAGGACCTTTCTGTAAGGTAAACAGAACAGTACCTTTCCCCCTGATTTAATAATTGCATATATCATGAACATTACCTGCTTGTACATGAACAAGTTCATATACATAAATAATGGTGCTGGAAATCAGCTCTCTGCATGCAAATGCGATTAAAAATAATGTATTAGCATTACAGTCCCAGTCTCCAAAGGGGAGATCTCACCTCAGGAAAATAATGTATTGAATCTTCTTCCAGGGGAACCTAAAACTGACAAATAAGAAAAAAGTCTTTTAAATGTATGCCAGTATTTTCAGTGTTAGAGTTTGCTGGATTGTCATATTCAGTACTTTTTCAGATTTTAATTTTTTCTGTGCTGGGATGTATATTCATTTTTGTGTGCACAGTTAGTGCCACTGCATATTGAAACTGGCATGTAGACGACACTTTGTTTGCACTCAGGTGATAGTTTGTGTCTAATTTATATCACTTGTTTGCAGAAATGTGTTGCCACAAACAGATGTGGCTTAATGTATTACAGTGAACTTCTAATATTTGGTTTATTTCAGATAGTCTGAAGACATGCTGTTTTCTGTAACAGGCTCCTTCTGCTTTCCATCCATCACACCTGCAGATTTAGCTCTCTTCCTATTTCTTACTTGTGAGATCCAGTAATTTTACAAAGATATTAATAGTTTTTCATTATGTTTTTCATGAAGAATTGTGTCAGTAGGCACTAGCAGGTCCAAAAGGAATGCATGGATCTTTAGTCTGCTGTTAATATAGCTGTCAAGCTGCTTTTGAATTATTACAGGGAGTAGAGTATTTGCAACTAAGTGTGAAGGTCATTGGGTCAGGGGAGATGTATCAACTGGGGATTGTATTTGAATACAGGAGCGAGTCTGTCGATATTTTTGGGTGTATTCTCATGGCTTTTGTTTCTTTGAATGGTTCTTCTGCAGCCATGTATATACCATTTAGAGACCTGTATGGTAATTTGATATTTTGTACTTAATATCCTAGTAAAACACACACATAAAGTTCATGTTATCATCAGAAGGAACAGATATTGCTAATGCCTGGAAGATGTAATATTCTGTGTATTTTTTCAGACCTTTTTTTTTAATTAGGATATGTCTACTTGTACAAAAAGGTTAATTTCTGTCTTGCAAAGTGTATGCAGATGAGGAAAGAGCAGTCTGATATTATTGTAAATTCATGAACTATATGTACATAAAAAGTTCATCATCTTATTTTCCTGCTCTTGAAAGGGAACAGCTAGAAACGACAGGACATATTGAAATGAAGTCTGAGTTTCACACATGCCTGACAATGTTAAATCATTTTGCTTTCTCCATAGGATTTTAAGACAGTGTTATCTTTCCCCCAGTACCCCGGGGAGTTTCTGCACCCTGTGGTATATGCATGTACTGCAGTTATGTTGTTGTGCCTGTTTGCTTCCATTATCACCTACATTGTCCATCACAGGTAAGAACTCAATTTTAAGCACTTCTGTTAAATGGTCGGCATTATGCTGAGGTACTTCAATTTTTCTAACCCTCGCTGAAAAGATAAATTAAAATGATCTGAATTACTGTTGGATAGTAATATCAGCAATGTGATTTACACCAGAGAAATCAAAAACAGGTTATGTCAACCTTTCTCAAGCTGTTCCCAAGCTGTACCTTTCCTGAGATGTATGTCTAAATGGCCTACACACTGTTCCTAAGATTTCTAACTTGACAATTCAATATGAAACCACGAGCACTATCAAATTGCTGTCTGGCAAATTCCAGTCAAAGAGCAGCACTTGGGACAGCTACATGGTATTGGCGGTATTGGCTTCTAAGACCAAGTTTGGTTGAAAGACTTGGTAACTATCATCGGATAAAAGAAATTTTCTTTGACTTCTAAATCTTCTTGGCTTTAGAAAACTTGTGTTTTCCTTTATATGAAAGATTTATATAAATGCCATTTTAACTACGTACTTCTGTTAAAGACCTTTAGCAATTTAAAAGCGTGGGAATGTATTGTGCTGTAGAAGCTGCTAAATATTAATTAAGTGAACTTAATGCAATGACTTCTGATCTTCAGCTTCCATTTAATCCTTTAGAGATGTCTTGTTAAAGTTCTGCATATCTGAAGCTCTGCAATAAGCCTTTTGCGTTTATTACTCTACTTTAAATGCTTGATTTGATGGAGGAAACTTTAAGTCAGTAGACCCTTGTCAGTAGACTCTACAATTTTTACCATCTATTTTACCTTTTAACCATTGATTTCAATGCTTTATAAATCAGACTCTGTCCTATAGGTAGATTGCTAAGTAGGTATTCAAGAATCAGAGAATTTAATTCTATCATATTAAGCATTTTTTCCAAAGTGAAATTTTCATAATAGATATGTTGTTTTTTAATTTTAAAATGTGATTTTTCAACAGCACAATCCGAATAAGTAGAAAAGGATGGCACATGCTTCTCAACTTTTGTTTCCATACTGCTCTTACATTTGCTGTTTTTGCTGGTGGAATCAATCGCATTAAATATCCAATTATATGTCAAGCTGTAAGTATCTGCCTTAGTAATTCTCACTAATAGAATGAAAACCTGAAACTATATTTTAACATAATATTGATAGTTCTCTTTCTTTTTATATATTGTTCCTGGATCTTAAGTTCTTCAAAACAAGTCATCATTATCAGCATCTTTTTTAAAGGCCAGCACTGGGAGTGTTCAGTGTTTGGTTGTCACCTGAGTTTCTGTGAGAGGCTGACCAATGCATTAGCTTCTCTGCAGCTCAGATTTCCTTATTTTTAAAAAATCCCTGAAAATCATAATATCTCTCTGTTCTACAGGACAGTTGAAAACTATGATTCCCAAATATTTCTAATGTCCTTTCTGATCTTTGGATTGAATGTGTGAAACTAAAGTTACTGCTGCTCTTTTGTAATATATATACCATTTGCCTGAGGGTGGCCCTAGCTTCAGTGGGTGATCCTTAAATATATACTTGGGCAGCTTAATGTTTATAGTATGATTATGTCTTTTAATTACAACTCAAGCTAAGGAGGCAAAGCAGACCAGTACACTTGCGATTTACGGACCCCTGTTTGCACTGCTAGACTATTTCACATCTCTTACTTCATCCTTTCCGGGGATATAGTGTCGTGAGATGCACAGAGAGGGCATGGCTTCAGCTGCTCTGAATATAGAGGCTGAGTCTGTACAGCATATAAAGAGAGTCATTTCAGTCATCTTCTGTAATGCCTGATGAGGGCTTGTTGCAATTTGTCTTAAATATTTCTTCCTCTCAGATTTTGTAGAAGTGCTCCAGATCTCATGAGTGTTGTTGGTATTTACCTGTAGTAAAGCACTTTATTAAGCCAACATTCTCCCAGATATTTTGCCTGTCACTAATCTGGTTCTTTTGATTGGCTCAAATAGGTGTAAACAGCAAGAGTCATCAGCCAACAGCAGACTCACTGCAAAACTTGAATAACTAGTGTAAGAGTTATCACTCTAATTTTCAATGAGATGCTTTGGAAGCCTTTTGTGTATACTTGTGCATGACCATCAATAAACAGCACATGTAGATCTGTAAGCACCTGTAACGTTCTACGTGCAAAGTCTACCTATGTATATTACATGGTATTCATTTAAGTGACACAGTTGTCCACTAGATTATTCTGAGATAAATATCTCACAATATGTAGTGTATTGTGTCATAATGAATCTGTGAGTCCTAGCAAATTGAAATATCACTTACCATTGTCTTTATCTGCAGTTTGCAAGTGAGGGTAGCAGGTTAGTTTGTAGGGCAGCCATGGCTGTGTAATTACATGATCACAAATGACCATCTGTTGTTACAATCATTGTCTGGTTATTTACTTTGCAGATTGCATGGTAACAATGCAGTATTAACAGTGATAATGAAAAATTGATTGAGATAAATGAGTTGTTAATAATATGTTATGAGTAATACATAAACTACAGGGGTATCTTCATGAAATGCATTATCAGTGAGAGCTGTTTCTTGCTATGGTATAGGGTCAGATCCTGAGCCGCTGAGAAACGTGCACTTAGAGAAATTGAATAGATCCATTCACATATGCCTTCTAATCAGTTTCATACAGTTATTTACCTGACACCATGCTACATCAACAGACAGTATCATCAGCAGTTAAAATATAGGAAAGATACAGGACACACAAGACACACACAGTCCTCTGGTTCCTGGTAGAAATTGCCTGATGTAATTAGGTAGGGCTAATGGATGCAACAGTCCAAACAATCTAAGACAAGACTCCTATAGCTGGTAACACAGGCTGAACAAATGTTCACTCCCAGAACATTGTACCCCACCACAGAGCCTTTCTTGCCTACTGACAGCAACGTTTTTCAAAATTCTGTGAGTCCCAGTGGCGCTCTCCTCTTGTGATAACCCTGAGAGGATTACTCTGTGAATTAATATTCAGGGTGCCAAAGCTAGGAGGTAGGGAGGTCAGACCTACTAATGGTTTCCCAAGAAGCTCACATATTTGAACATTTCCCATAGCTTGCATAAGTGGTCGTGGGGTGCACAGCACTCCTTTTGTCCTGCATATGGAATATAGCAATCTTTAAATCACTCAGCCTAATGAAATGTATATTAATATAGTTGGTTTGAGCTTGTGTGTCCCTCTAGTCTAAGTTTTGTCTCTTTCTCCTTTTTTCTTTTTTTTTTTTTTTTCAGTTCTGGAAAAAAACTGATATTAGGGTTTAAAAATGTATTTGTGAAAATATTACTGCTTCAAGCAGCACTAAAATACTAGTTGTACTCCATGTGTAACACCATCAGTGTTGCTATAGCACAGGTATCTTTCCATCGGCTACAATTCAAAACACAGCTTCACCCTGCAGCAATGTAGTTTGCACTTTTTGTTTCCCGAGTGCGTAGGGGAAGATTCCAAGTGCAAGCATTTTCTGTACTAGTCGCTGAAACATGGTGTCAAAGCCAGTGAACCTCCACCTTTCTTATTGTAATTATCCCTAAAACTTTCACACAAATTTCACTGCAACGTCCATACCCAAGTGAAATAATAGACTGAGTTAATTTTTATTCTTCATAACTAACCAAAAAGGGTGGTTCTAAAATAATTTCAGTTGGATCACCTTCTCCCTCTAAATGAGGTGTCCCAGGCTAATTTTAAAAAAAAATGCTATGGAAATGGACCCATTTTCTGTGATAGATAGCTGGAAGAACCTTCCTATCCCCTTGAAGGCAAAGTAATTACACAAACAAATGTGTTTTCAGAGATGGCAAGATATTTATTTTTATCTGGAATCTAAAAATCTGAAACTCCCTTTTAAACCTGCGTAGCTATTTCAGAGAGGATTTTGTACAGACGGTCTCACTTGTGTATGTGCTATACAGTCTTCATGATTTATAAAGAAAACTGATGTTAGAGTTCTGGTCTGGAAGAGTTGATTGCTTCTTCATGGATTTCCTGTGTGAATGAGGTATATCTACAGACTGTTTAGATTACCCATGAATCTGATTCTGGGTGTCACTGAATGCTGGCTGTTGATGTAGAATCCAGAGTCTTGAGTTTATGGCAAAATCTTTCATGCAAGGCAAAGGTTGTGTTAGGAACGGCAGAATGGGATTAATCAGAGCCAGAACACTAGCCAGAAAGGTGCTTGGGCCAGCTAGCGGATGATGTAGTCAGCCTTTTCCATCTCTCAGAGTTAGGATCTCAGGTTACTTTACTTCAAAGGGCAGAAGGAGTCTTATTCCTTTCTGGTAAGGAATGAGATGGAAGGAGACACAACTGTAGCTGGATCACTCCCCATGTGTGGGAGGCATTGATTCTGTACCCTCAGTTTGAAAGATTTCAGTCTTATGGCCCCTACTTTCCAGGTGAGCATGATAGCCATGGGGCTATGTGTGCTAGGGGATGAAATTGTCAGTTCAACATGTTGAAGCATGAAGAATAGGCTTAGGGGCACAAGTTTCAGGAGACAGAAAAGTTAGGGAGTGAGACAGAATCATAATTTTTTATCCTACTGGCCAGTCACTGAGTGGCATGATCACTTCAATCACATCTCCAAGAATCTCCTATATGGTTTATCAAATACAAGCTTCCATGTAAAATTTGGCAAGGCTCGGACCTTCCTCCTCCCTGATGAGTGTCATATGTGAAACTGCTTGTGAATTCCTTTCTGTAGGGCAACAAATCTTCAGCAAGAAAGGCGAAGCCTGTTCCATATTAGCCAGTAGCCTGGAAGTTAGAAATTTGGATTTGAATCCTGTTAAACTAAGGAGGTCCTAGAGCTATGCACCACATCTCAGGTAGGAGCTATAGATACAAAAATATTACAGAAAGAGGAGGAAAAGAGCAGTTCTTTCTGCTCTAGCTATATTTTTTTTTTGAAAGAATGGGTGTAAAATTAATCTACTGTGATCAAGTCTGCCAGTTGGGGTGTCTCAAGCGAAGAATGTTATTTAAGAGCTCTTGAGTGGTCTTTGGTGAGAAAGGTGCTGCATTGTTCAGCTCTGCTGAGACAGGAACAAAGCTAGTCATATGCACAAACGAGGTATTAGGTGGCTGGAAACTTCACTAGCAGCAACTTATGACGGCTAAAGACTTTGCATGCTATGGAGTTAGATGTGCATGCTGTGCTGGAGATTGTCCTTCCTGGTCTCAGGTACCTTATTTGTGGGTCTCAGCTTCTTTCTCTAAATCTTTTACCTGTGAAGGGAGCACGGGGTTGTTCTAAGGCTAAATGTTTTAAGATTATGAAATATTCACATCCAGTGGTGTTGTAGACTGCAGAGAAATTCCTGAATCCCTTCGTCTCGCTGGAAAGAATCACTTTCAGTGCAGGATTAATAGTTTAAATGGAATGTCAGTGCATATCCATATCCTCCTTTAAATAGAACTGGCTGAAGAACAACAATCTTATCTGAAACATGATTACAACTGAAAAAAAAAAGAAATTAAATTAAAACCTAGAGGAAAACAAATTTGTGTGCAAGTTAAAGCTGAGCAAGAGAATTTTTTGTGCCAAAATGCTTTGCATAAATGTGTATTCTGGTCATTACCGTGTTAACTGTATGGTGTGGCACTTAAGTTACCTCTAGGAGCACATGCAGACAGCATCTTCTTACTGTAGAAAAGCATAATCTTCTATTCAGTAGGCTGGTGCTCATTCCCAAAGATAAGTGTTCTAAGAACACAGAACATGGAAAAAATGAGTCCAAGGAAACAAGAAAATTTTCACCATCTAACTGCGGTTATTAAACAGCTTTAGGTGCAATGCTGTCTTCAATGCATATGTCCTGACAGTTCTTTCTGTACCATTTGGCCTGTCAGTGGAAAACCTTCTTACAAATAAGGGTCATCACTTTAATATATTCAATCATAATCCTTCATTCTGTGTGGAAAACTTGACCCTTCCCACACAATTTTATGTGAAATACAGAAGTTCTACTTACAGTGAAAATAGTTTTAAGTGAACTCTTGGGTATTTGTATCTATTTATTGGCCTCTTAAGCTTTACAGAGGCACAAATCCAGTAACAAGATATACACAGATAAATTTGTACCCTGGACCTTTAGTGCATAAACCTAAGGTTTACATTTGGTAACAGCGTTAAATGAGAGTTTACTGAGCAAAACTATCTTTGTCCTGTTCCCCTTTCTGTTGAGCCTTGTCTTCCCCTTCCATGTCATGAGCTGGTATCTCGTGTACTTCTAGCATAGGGCTCAGATGTCTTCCTAGCTTAAGAGAACTAGAAAGAGGTAGTCCCACTGAAGAGGACAAAAGAGCAGCCCCTAAGTGCAACAGTGAGGAAAATACATCTCTGTGGCATGACTGATGTCAGTGTGGAGATATGGGGAAGGAAGAGGCAGAGAGCAAAGCCCACCACTTTGAAACACTGAATTTTCAAGATGAGGTGTGACAAGCATTTCTTTACTAATTATTATTAGTGGATAATTAAGAGCAAAAATTCTGGTCCAGAAAGCCTATTTTGTGATGGGAAGTGAGAAACAAAATCATCACAGAGATAAGGCTACCCTTTCCTTTGGAATTTAGTATAACAGCTCAGCGCACCCTTCCAAATTCCACATTTTTGTTGTCATCTATGTTTTATCTCCAGATTGTCACCATTGTCCTTCAAATCCGTCAGTCATGAGGAGGTCCTGTATCATGAGGATATATCCTCCTTTCCTTTAAGCAAGAAATGCAAATGGATAGGGTTTTTTTGAGAAAGAGCCATATTATTAAAGAGTTAGTACAGATGGTAACATTTTTGTCTCTTGTCCATGTTTGTTCTATTTGTCCATATATCAGAAGGAACTAAGTTGCTGAAATATGAGCACGCTGTGAAGAAAAGTAATGTGACTAAGGTGTGGCATAGCAATGATGTTTTCAGTTCAGTTGCCTCCTTGAAAGTTCAATAAAATAGTTTTATTGTACTATTTTTAGGAATCTCATTCACTTAAGTGATATGTGGCCATATATGTTGTCAAAATTTCACATGTAAGTGCCTTCTCACATGAAATTCATCCCTGCTGTTCATATTCTTATGGACTTTTTGGCATACTTGTGTAGAATAATTACAGAATATATAGTAGCAGTGCTATGCTGAAATGAGAAAGAGGTTATGAACCGTATCTCTAGAATTTTTCCAATTCTTTCTCATGGTTCCCGCCTCCTTTTTCTCCCCCTTTCTCCTCCCCCTCTTCTCCCTCCTGCCTTACTCCTTCACTCCCCCACCCAGCTCATAGTCATATTCACTGCGTCCCTACAGAAATGCTGCAAGCTGCATACGAACTAAGTCCAGACAGCACTAGCCATCGAACTGGCAACGTCTGCCAGCTGATGGTACAAAGTTGTCTCATTCTCTTATTTCCGCCTCTTTTCCTCAAGCGACAACAGCTATGAAGGCTTTATACTCCCTTGTCTAATGCGTCAGACAAGTCCCAGAGAAAATTACAAAGGGTTTTCTGTTGATGATATTTGCTGCTATCTTCAAGTTTTGTGCTATATTAGTAAATATAAACAAAATTCGTGGATTTTTTTTCTTCTTTACCCATCAATTATTTTAAGTTGAGCAAAAATGAACACTGGTTCAAATAAATCATTATAATAAATTTGTGTTAGCTTTATTCAGCAATTCTCTGTATTCCTTAAACATTTATGTGCTTTCCAATTATAGCAATATTTTACTTGTCACTGCAAAATGTCAGGTTATTGCTTCAAAGGTAACCTCATTTTATATAATCAGATGGAGACTTAGCTGATGTAATAAAGCATTGGGAGATTGGATAAAATTCCAATTACTGTTTCCATAGTAATGAATAACAATTACTAACATAAGAAAGATGTTTGTATTTTAGAGGTGTTTGTACTTTATTTTACTTTCAATGATAAATACACCAGTTTCTTGGAAACAAAATGATAGTAACGCTATTGAGAGTTTGTATTTCCTTTTAAGGGAGGATGCCAAGATCTGTCATTTAATTTTAAAAACTGTATGGCCAAGTTTATAAGTTCCTTAAAATATGTCTGAAAATAATCTGGTTTTAGGCAAATAGCTTTGATCCCATTACAAGAAGTCAACCTTGGCTATATGCAGCTGAGAGGGAACTACAGCAGGATATTCCTGAAAAAGGAAAGGAAATAGTAGCATAATAGCAAGCAAAAATGCTGCCCTCTCATTAATTTTTAAATTGCATTGTCATGATAAGCTAACAAAGCTTGCAACACAAACTAAGCTTCGCATCGCTTTAAATCCAGGTGTAAAACTTTGTAATTAATCAGGTTCTTAGAAAACAAATGTCTTTACAGTCTTGGTTTCATAACATACCATCTGGTAACACAGATATTATCTATGATAGATTAAATAACAGATTCCATCTGCTTTTTAAAAGTGTTTTCCCTGATTAGAAATAACCAGAGAGAAAGAAAAAATGGATGCACTTACAAATTCAGTTTAAAAAATCTGTTTGCTTGTACACTTATGCATTAAGATTCTTCTAAAACTCTTGTTTTACTGATCCGTTTACTGACTTGTTTAACTGTCCATTCTTTTTTTAGGTTGGCATAGTACTACATTATTCTACACTCTCTACTATGCTATGGATTGGAGTAACTGCCAGGAATATTTATAAGCAAGTCACAAAAAAACCTCAGCCATGCCAAAACAGTGACCAACCTTCTTATCCAAAGCAACCACTACTCAGGTATGGAATATTAGCTATACTTTTTTAAATGTATTCCTAAAACATATAAACTTTAAACAAACTCTCACTTTTATTTCTGTATTTGTTACTTTTTACAGACTGTAAATAGGATCCATAAAGAATTGAGTCACTTAGGTGTATATAAAAATCTGAATATTTATTGTATGCTAATAGTTAACTCTACTCAGGAGATGGAAATATGCAGAACTGGTACTGGCTAGGTTCAGACACCTTTATCTGAACAAATGTTTAGGCACAATTCAAATGTTTCTGTTGGTTTCTTCTGGAGGAAAAAAACCTGGCTTGCTTCTGGGTTAAGGTATTATTTAATCACCAGAAATGACGCTATCATGACTCTCCCTTTACCCTTTTCTATACTGCTGTAAATCTTGCCCACGCTTGTATTGATTGCCTAATAATCTGATAGCAACCTTCCTCATTCCACATCAGAGATCTAATGCTATTACAGGGGCAACTGAAAGTCTGGACTCCCTGTCAGCTTTCTAGATGGAGCAGGCTAACTAATGTGTCTCTGACAGCACGGCAGGTGTAATGCAGAAAGAATTTTAACCAGATGCCTGTGAGATGCTGAAACTTCAAGCCAAAATAGTCAGTCTGCATAGAAAAAACCCAATAACTCACCACAAACTAGGACTTCCAACCAAATTCATGAGAAGATGGATTCATCTTTTTTGACTTCAGCTATCAAAAAGTTAGGTATTAGCCAGTTATCTAGTGCCCACGTATGGATTTGGGAGGGAGACTGAGACAGAGAGGAACTTCCAGAGAACAATTCCTCCCATCTGCCTTGGATGTTTGTGTGAGGACAGGATGAATAGTCTTATGGAGGCGCTTCTCTTTCCCCACAGATCATGGAAAAACCTGAACGGTTAATTTAGGCTAAAGACCTCAGTTTTATAATGAAGGACAGCAAATACGAATTCTACTTTTCATGGTTTTGCTGTGAAAAATCCAGATTAGTATATTCTTTTAAACAGACTTAGCTTATTTTATTTTGAACAAAAAATGTTTATTAAGTAGCATTTATAGATGGCTGTGTGAGGTTGTCACAACTTGTTAAAAGTCTAGAAGAGGATGAATTGTGTTTTGCTGTCTGATTCTGCTGAGTGAAATCTTTATTACCATGATTAGTTTTCTGCTTTTTAAAACATTTTCTTTCTAGAGATGAAATTGATTAAAGTTAACATAAAATTTATATAGTGAAGAGCAATATTGAACATTAGCTTTGTTAGGTGTAAGCAAGAGGATGTACTTTCACTGAGAGTGCCTCACTTTGCTAATCCATTATTTACTATACCATTTTTCACAGATGAGAATTTCACTCTTTCTGTTACTAGCTCATGGCAAAATGAATAATTGCCAATTTTCAAATGCTGCAGTGTGGCTATTAAGGTAGAAAATTGCTACAGGTGACATAGACCCAGCATAGTGTATGTTCTTCAAATTCAAATCTTGTTTGAGTTGGAAAACAATAGACAATCAGGTTACAGAAAAGATTAATTAGAATCTTTGTTGTACCAGTCATGTTGAGGTTCTCAGACAGTGAAAATAAACAGTAGATATTTTAAGTTGAGTAATAGAAATGATAAAACTCCTTTTAGCTGTAAGAGAACATGAGTATAATTGTTTAATATCTAAGTAAAATTGTTCTAAGTTATTTTTCTCACTCAGGGCACCGTAAGTCCTAGAGACATAGACACTGAAATGTCTAATATGATTTTATAATTGTTAGTACTAGATTCAAAGTTGTAAGGATCGATTTCATTTCATGTAGAAAATGGGCATAGTATATGGAAAATTAAAAATTGCTTTAAGCAATAAAATGCCAAACTCATAATTAGTAATTGTTGTTCTTTTAAAATTATAATGATCATTTTTATGGGCATTTTAACTTTCCTGGTTTTAATAAAATTAAAACCAGAATTATTCTGTATCATAATATTTCCATAAAATCCACTTAAGATGCTTATATTTCAGTGTAGTCATTTATAAGAAATGTTTTAGCTAGGCAGCGTTCTTGTATCTATAAGCTGATGCCAGCCTTTATACACATTGTGCCTCAAGTACATAAGAGACAATATTGCAGTTTGTCCGGGCTTGGGTGAGGGAGTGTTAATTTTTGTCTCCATTTAACACCAGTAGATAGCTAAACGATATAAAGTTTGTTCAAATGGAGATTGAGCTAAGCTTTTTCATATGTCAGTTCCATCAGTGCTAGGAAGCATATAATACGGTCTGCGAGACACTTTTAAACAAGAGGTAGTTTGTCAGTAATCCCTGTCTATAGACCTAGTTTGACTTGTGTTCAGGTTTTGTTGAACACAAGTATATGAATGTGTTTGGCAAGAACTGTACACTTTGCTGTTCTCCCTCAGTCTTTTCTGATAATGGATGTATATGATAGACTGGGTTTCCAGTTCACATATGGGTGGTTTTGTATTCCTTGTATATGCACTTGCCATATGAGACATAAGGATCTCTTTTGTGAGTCAGTACGTGGGGACTACTGCCCAAAAATCAATACATTAATCTATGTTATGGAATTTACCAAGAAATGATAAAAATTCTGTCACCACATTTTTTTCAAGGAGCTTGATCCACTCTAAAAAGTAGCTGAAATAATGAAAATAAATACCAAAATATTTAAAAGGAGACCTTACCTGTTAGTGCAAAAGGACATTTGCTTGTAACAGTTGCTTCAGTTTCTCTGCCTGCTATTTGCATATTGATTTACAGAAGTAAGACAAATGAAGTACACCTGATCTTTTCCTCCTAGTTTTCCTTGAGCTGTGGCAAGATGTATCCTATTCTGTAAAATTGTGGTTGTCTATTAGTTTCCTCTGTTTCCAGATACAGTGATCAAACTTGAAATCTTTTTGCAGTGTAATTTTACTGAAACTTGTTCTTCATGGCAATATGATTTTGAATATTGCCTCTTTTTATACATTAATAATCTATTATATGATACATTATATATCTTATACATTATACACTGTATATACTTTATTTTCTATATATATAATATACATGAGATCTATATTATCTGTTAATTATAGAGTTAAAGCTTTCGGGGCCTATCACTTTGATGACTGGAACCAACTGTAACAATTCTGGTATTTCTCACTAAATGTGCTTGGATGCTAATGAGGTGGATCAAATTATATGCATCATTGAATTTTGTGTATTGAAATGCTTAACCCTAGCACTTCAACAGATAATGAAATTACTTCCTGTAAAATATACTCTCTGGTATTCTTAATAGAAATAAATAATTCTATCTGTTCATCCTCTGTGGACATTTGTTAAACCCGGCAGAGTTTTCGCTTCTGACTCATCTGAAGTCAGATTTTGCCAGCAAAGACAAAGGGGCATACAAGATTCAGCTATTACTTGCGATGTACAAAACTCCTCATCAGCCCAAGCTGAGGCACAGGTAGTATTAGTTTTCATACCTGATACGTGCATGCATTTTTCATGTGATGGTGTGTGCACATACAGACTAGACAAAAGTACAGACCAAGCGGAAAATATTTCTGAAAGGTAGTCTGTTAATATCGTTCCTTTCCAGAAAGAGAGAAAAAAAATTGGACTACTATCATTTTTAATAAGATAACTACTGAGCACAATTGCACTATAAACATTTAAAAAAAAAATAAATAAGCTGCCAGCTGGGACAGAGATTGGTGTTAAGGAGACAGATAATTAAGTTACCTTTTAACTCAGGGTTAGGTACAAATATGTCTCCTAATTTCCTCCATCCTCTGTTATTCAATTAACATCTTGCAAGGTAACTAATATGGCAAACTTCAGATTACAGAGAGTCCAATATCCTATATCTGTCACGAAAATAATCCAATGTGCATAAAGAAGGTTGCAGAATCAACTGCAAAATGGATAACAGGTGATGTCACTGTCTCTGCTGAACTTCATCTTGTTTATTATGTAATGTATCTTGATAAGCTTTTTGAAAGGTTCTTAATGAAGTTGTGCGGCTTCTAGGAAAAGTACCTCATGCAGTGCCTTAGAGAAACTGTGTATCTAGCTGTAGTAACAATTTAGAAATGGATTGTGTGTCCTTCCCTTTGTATTCAAAGTACTAGGCTTAGTACTATGGCTATTAAAAATGAACATGGAGAATTTGGGGAAGTTCATAACTCAGGCAAATTAAATCAGTTTTCAGCAGCACACTCGAGCATCGTCAATATGACTGGCTCCAATTCCATTCTCTTATTGTTTTTAACTTTAAATAATTTTAAAAGTTAAGAATCATTTTTAGAATGAGAAAGCTGTTTGCATATTTCATATATTTTGAAATGTCTTAACTGTTTTTTTAGAAACTGTACTTTAACTTGCACACAGAGCAGACCTAGAAATAGTAGGTGAGAACAGAAGTGGTTCCGTTGAACTGTAATGTCTGCTAATGGATGTGTACATGCATATATATATGTGTGTGTGTGTGTATGTCTGCTATTCTGTATGAGTTTGTACATGGCCAAGCATCTGTACATCATCCATAGACTTACTGGTGTGATGTCTTGGAAGTAGCAACAGCAGGGGTCTTCCTTGTGGGCTATGTTTATCGTGTAGCAATGACTAACAACCTACAGCCTGATCACATGCACATGCAAGATGCGATAGTGCTCCACTTGCATCCTCCCCCTCTTCTGTGAATGTAGCAGCAGCTCTTCACAGTCATTCCCTGGCTCATTATTCCTCCCAGTTACCCAAACGTTAATCAGTAGTATCCAGCTAAACAGCAGCGAAGTATCTTTGTGACATTGAATTATGTTAAATTCTTTCACTGAAAAAGGGAGAAAATATTCTAAACTTTCACATCCAGAAAAACCCTCTCCTTCCGTTTGTGTAGATGAATCCTGTGATGAGCCTCCTGCCTCTAAGTAAGGAGATTTTACAGTCTTGCATGATACCACAGGGGTCATGGCATCTGCTTAGTGCTTGGCTCACAATGTTAACTGCTT